TAACACGCGGGCTGATATACAATAGTGGCGACGACGCGCCGAACGTGATCGGCCGCGCATAATGGGTGCGATTTGGCGGGCGCGCGCGAAGGGGAAAACGCTCGTGCATGGGCGTACTGGTACATGAGAAGCAGGTACTGCGACTTGCTCGTTGCTTTTCTGGACTGTTGACTGTCTCTCGTGTCCTGGGCGCGGTGGCTGCCCGATGGTGTGTTGATACGACCTGCCTGTGGTAGGTAGCACCGTAAAGCTATTTAGAGAATCCTCTGAGCTTAGGTATGTCTTGCCTCGACCATCCATCGACTTCTTCTACTCCAAAGGCTTGCTTGCCTCTCCTTGCCAACTGGATTTGATCGCCTTCCTACCTGCTTGTGTCGCTAGAATGCCAGATGTAAGCAAGGTACATAGTCCTTCTAAGTTAGGAAAATGCTCATAGATCTAGACATATAGCGAACTGACATTTATTGACTTTGAATATTTCCCCCCAGTAGACTATGATCGGCTGATGTCATGGGCTGGCGAGAATGAAGGCGAGGGCTTGATTATCATCAACAAAACCGAGCAAAAATTACCTTAGGATGAAGAATCTAATGTACGCCTTCCTGCATCTCAAGGGGTACTTGTGATGAAGTGCAAATTTAAGATCGTTCGCGCTGTTGGTTGGTTGGATATTGTTTTTGGGAAGTCTCATCCCGATGTCTGATGGTGGTTTGGTCAATACCTCCTGTCCGATACATCTCCATGTTGTTCATTATGACTGAGGATGTGTATTGGCCGTCGTATTTTTGGAACGGTCAATCCAGGTATTCTACTGTCTAGCAGACATTGCGTCATTCACTATATTGCGCTTTGGGAGGGCAGGAGGCAGGGCTGAGTTGAGGCCAATAGTCCTGCTCTTCGTATCTGCCACATGTAAGCGCAAGTTAATAAGGCGAATTCAAGCGCTATCAGTTGGCTTAACTGAAACCGATGAGCTTGGAGATAATTGCCATGTCTAGTCATGCTTTCCCGAGAGTTCATGGCACCTTGCTTAATTCTGGATTTAGAGCATAGTCTCGCTACGGTGTTCTCTGAAAGAATGAGTTCTTAAGTTGTTGCCTGGCGGGTTAGACGGCCGTAGCGCAGGCAGACACCTACCGGAAATCACCATCCACATCGATCAACGTAGTCCGTCTGCTGCTCTGGAGACCAACCCCTTGCGATTAGCCATCCATACCTGCTATGTTTGTCTCTTTCCTCGACCAGAATCGAAGCTAAGGCCTGTGGCCGTGGCCTAGCGCTCGTGGGGCGAAGCTACCGTCGCTGTAGGCAGAATCGCACAAGGTCACCAGAATGCTGACAGCCAGCCCACCAGGCGGACGTAGGTCCTGTAGGCCGACACCGTTTTATTACTGGTGGTTTCTGCCCCATGGCCGCAAACCGTATTGGATTCTTACGGCTGATTCTGGTGGCACCACCACCTCGACCTCGCTCATCTGCCTGCGCCACTGCGATCCATCAAACGGCCAGGGTGTTCAGTATCTCGTCGCCTTGAACCTCGTTTTCCAGAGCGTCTGCCTGGAACTGTGGCCTGCTGCATTCGGCCCCGATCAACGTTTGCTTTCTGGGTGCCAAGACTGCGAAGTGTGACTGCCTACCTGCGGCCAGAAATCGATCGCACTGGTTCATCTGCCTTTCTGATCCTCCGCGGTGGTCCAGGCGGCCTCATCCGCATCGCTGGCGTCTGGCCCGGCGCAGCTCTCCAGGCCGCCGTGTCAGATCTCGAGACGGAAACCTCCTCCATCATAAATATCCGCCTGTGGGATCCCTCGATGTCTGGCTGAGAGACTTCGTGGTTGACTTCATGTCTTCTCACTGGTTCCCCACCATACAAAACTGAACCGCTTCCTCATTCCCCGCAAGCCCCATCAATCCGCCCCGACTCATATCACTCTCCTCGCAGAGCCTCAACGGCGCACCACGCGCAACTGCAACACTGCCGAAGAACCCCAGCACCAGCTCATCCCCCTCTCCCGGAACCCCACCATGAGCTTGAATTTACCGCTGCGGCCGGCCACGAACAGCACCTCTTCCACATCCATTAATACCCCCAGCCGCCGGAACCAGGACAGCCGGAACTACTTCACTAGTTATACCCCGCCGAGCTCGACCGAGGCCATCAATGGTCCGGTGCGGGAGCCGGCGAGGGATCCTGCTCCCATCAGTGACCGTCTCATCGTAGGAGTTGACTTTGGCACAACCTTCTCAGGGTGAGTTCATATGTCCTTGCCCCAGTTTCTGATGACTTTACGTTTCCTTGCCGTTATCTTCAATCACGTGGGGCGATGCTGCCAGGTTGTTCGACAGAGACTAAACGGACCTTTAGGGTTGCTGCTGTGTACACATCAACTCCAGATGATATAGAGATCATCAAAACATGGCCTGGAGGCAATGGAATCACCTCTGACAAGGTGCCAACTGAAATCGCTTATGATTTCCCCGCCAACTCACCAGCTGGGGCTGACCCGACGGTGAAATGGGGGTTCCAATTCAAACCTGAGGAATCTCGGCTCCGGTGCATAAAGCTCTTTCTGGATAGAACCCAGAAACTGCCCTTCTACGTGAGCCCTTTGGACACTGCTGCGCAACTCAAGCGCTTCAACAAAAATGTGGTTGATGCCGTGAGCGACTACTTGACCCAGATTTTCGACCACACGATGAACACGCTCACCAGACGCTATGGCGAATCCTTCATGGCCTCTACACGAGTCGAGTTTGTCCTTACGTGTCCTGCTGTCTGGAGTGATGCCGCCAAAAACACAACCCTGCAGGCCGCCGAGCGTGCGGGCATGGGTAGCAAGTCGGAAATCCAGATGATCAGTGAACCCGAGGCCGCGGCCGTGTATACACTCAAGGCCATCCAGCCGAACCATCTGAATGTTGGAGATAATTTCATTGTGTGTGACGCAGGAGGTGGCACTGTTGAGTGAGTATTTCTTCCGTGGCGTGATATTCACCAAATGCTTCATCAACTTTTCGGTGAACTAATCTGTGACATGCCAGTTTGATTGCATATAAAATAATTTCCTTGAAGCCCCTACGGGTGGAAGAATCTGCTGTCGGAACTGGAGGCCTGTGTGGCAGTGCCTTTTTGAACTATCGATTTGAAGAACATGTAAGGAATCGCCTGGGCCAGACGCGGTTCGACGAGATGAAGCAAAAGAAAGGAAAAACATGGCAAATGGGCCTTCGATACTTTGAGGAATTCGTCAAGCGGAACTTCAATGAGGATGAGCATCAAGAAATCAACATCCCGTAAGTGGACAGGCGAAACCCCAAAGCTAGTGCATCAGAGGAAGGGAATGTATTAACCTAGTTAGGTTCCCTGGACTTCCTGATGACGAGGAAATCGGTCTGGATTCGGGATTTTTGGTCATGACGGCTGTCCAGGTCAAGGAGATTTTCGAGCCCGTCGTCAAGCAGGTGACAGATCTTGTTCAAGGGCAGGTGACTGGTCTACGTAAAAAGGGAGGCGTTGTATCGGGAATTGTGCTTGTTGGAGGTTTTGGCCAAAGCGACTATCTCTACCGGAGGCTCAAGAGCCACTTCACAAGCGCAGCACCGCCGCCTTACAGCGAACGCCCTACCCATTCCAACGCAAAGTCCATCGAAGAGAATGCGTCGATCGAGGTCATGCAGCCCGTTTACGCCTGGACGGCCGTCGTGAGAGGTGCTGTCCTTCGAGGCCTGGAGGGTAACATGGTCATCTCTCGCAAGTCACGAATGCACTATGGAACGTCATACGCCACGGTTTACGACGAGGACAAGCATTCTGTGAGCGAGAGATATTGGTCGCCACTTTGGGAACGATGGATGGTATCCGACCGGATGCAGTGGCACATTGCAAAGGTAGGCAGATTCTTTTTGACGTGCCATTGAAGCAATGTCGGGTAAGAGTTGAAATGCTAACATGATTGGGTAGGGTGAACCACTGTCGCCCTTATCTCCCATCGCATTCCATTATACCCGCAACTTCCGACCCGGCCAATCCCTGATTGTGACGGATGATCTCATTGCCTGTGACGCGGATGAGCCCCCGGTTGCATACACTCGCGACCTCATCCACGTCTGCACACTGACGACGGATCTAAATGCTGTCCCTCGGAGCTTGTTCACAAGACTCACAACCACCAGGGGTGTCGAGTTCGACAATCTCGACTTTACGTTAGAGATGATTGTTGATAGCGCTGGTCTAGGTTTTGAGCTGAAGGTTGATGGTGTTAGATACGGGCGAGTGGAGGCCGAGTTCCATTAGAAGTCAATGAAGACACTCTTAGAAATCACGCATGGGGATGATTGCCTGTTCATGGATAGATGGGGAAAGGATCAGTTGCATGGCTTATCTGTGCTCGGCCTACTTGCTGATGATGCCATCTACTCTAATGTACACTGTGGCAGTAGTTGGGTAACACGGCAGCTTGAGGGATATACTTGATAGAGTCGGCCAGCTCGACGGACAGGGTAGTGGACTAATGAAAAAAGGAGAAAGCCAAGTTAACTTGCTGGCTGCTACACTGATTGCTGGCTGGCTTCGACACGAATCGGAGCGAGCACGGCCAATCCCGCAATTCCTGATCCCCACTGTGCCTGGCCAGAGCGAGTAGAAACCGGAACCCTATGACGACGACCAGGTCCATGGCGGGGGAGGGGCAGATTTTCAGTTTCTGTCTCGTTCTGCTGCTGTTGCGAATTATTAACGCGGCAAAAATAATATGGGAGAGAATCTCGGTGAGCAGCGTGCATACATAAGCAGCGGTAGCAACCTATCTTTTCATCTCGTTTGCTTTTACACCTGTCCATGTCAATGGATGTGTTGCTAATTTGCCCTTCCTTGCTTGTTTTTTCCCCAACGCCTCTCTTATCGATTAGACCCCGACACTCATTTGGAGAAAGTTGATTGAGCCGTGGAACCTTCTACTTGGAGAGCGAATGTGCAGATCTTGCTGAGGACCGCAACCCCAATGGCTGCCGACCCTCGAATCACCACTCTGGTCCAATGGGCTTCGAGCCACGGGGCCGTCCTGAACAACCACCTCGAGGTCCATGACGACCCCGTCACGGGCTTCTCGTTCCGCGTCAAGGACGGCCACGCCCTCCCCGCCTGGGAGACGGTCGTGAGCCTGCCGACGTCCCTGTCACTCTCATACCTCAATGCCGTCTCGCAGGGCTGCTTCCACCCGGAGCTCGTCTCCAGGACGCCGCCGCACGTCGTGGGCCGCCTGTTCCTCGTCAGGGAGTACCTCCGCGGCAGGGACTCGTTCTGGTGGCCGTACATCCAGGCGCTGCCGCGGCCAGAAGAGAAGGCGAGCTGGGCGCTGGCGCCCTTCTGGCCCGAGGACGAGGCGGAATTGCTGGAGGGGACGAACGTCGAGGTTGGGCTGGAGAAGATCCGGCGCGACGTGAAGAGGGAGTACGAGGACGTCACGGCCCTGCTGAAGCTGCACCACGCCGACAAGGAGGGGGACTTTGTCCGCGCTGTGACTGTGCAGCTGTACCAGTGGGCGTACTGCATCTTCTCGAGCCGGAGCTTCAGGCCCAGCCTCGTGCTCTCCCAAGCGGCGACCGAGACCCTACCCGCGGGCGTCAAGATGGACGACTTCTCCGTCCTGCTGCCGCTCTTCGACATTGGGAACCACGACATGACGGTCGAGGCGCGCTGGGAGCTCAGGCAGGGCGGCGGCAAGGACGCCTGTGAGCTGAGGGTGGGGAGGGAACACGGGGCGGGCGAGCAGGTGTTCAACAACTACAGCATGAAGACCAACGCGGAGCTGCTGCTGGGGTACGGGTTCATGGTCCCCGCGACGGAGGGCTTGCACAACGACTACACGCACGTGCGGAAGAGGACGGCAGCGCCCGCGACCTCGGGAGTCACTGCGGACCCGGGGGAGTACTACATCTCGCGGCGGCCCATGGACGACCCGAGCTCGCTGCTCGGGCGGAATAGGCAGGCTCTCGTGGTCGAGCTGCCGGCGGGGAGGCCCATGCTGGGGGCTTTCCGGCATGTGCAGCCGGACATGGTGTGGGATATCTTTTGCACGCTGGCGGAGAGCCAGGGGACGTCTGCCGCGGAGCTGATTTCGACGGAGGAGGGGGTGGTGGAAGGGGAGCAGCAGCGGGAGAGGCAGCGGAAGCTGTTCAGCGGCGCGGTGGATGAGGAATGCGGGCCGTTCCTGGAGCAGACGGTGGCCATCATCCAGCACAAGATGCTGCAGGAGCTGGAGCGCCTCGAGGAGACCGAGGTGGAGATCGTGGGAGGGGACGAGGACGAGCTGAGTGGGAACCAGAAGCTGGCCCTGGAGTATAGGAGGCGTTGCCGTGCTGTTCTGGAGAACGCCCTGGAGGCCATGGAGACTGATATAGAGTAAAGGGGGTGGACGTTTGTGTAGACACGAGATAGATTACACTGGATACAAGGGATACAATGGGCGCAACAGACAGGATTGGGAGAGGAGATATTTATGGTTTTATCTCTTCTTTGATTATGGTTTTTGGGAGGCTAAGCTGTTGCACTTATTAGAGCAAAGATTATACTAGGCTGGAGTTTCCAAGTTCTCATAGACACAACGCTCCAGCTCGTCGTAGAGTTTCCCAACAATGGAGTCGCCGAAAGGCTGAACGTTTGTGAATAAGACGGCTCCTATCCCGTTCTTTCTGTCGATCCACTGTGATAAAAAAGCCATTAGTTCCTAAGTCATGGAATCTGATGCTGGCTCAGGGGAAGGGGAACAAGTCTTTTCCTTACCCATCGAGAATTACAGAACCCACTCCATGTCATGCTCCCCTTGGCACGCTTCCCAGGGATATCCTCGAGGTTCACGAGCCCCGCGAGACCGTGGTCGATTTCCAGACCCCTTGGGAACTCCGGGGCGAAGCCCTCGTGGGACCCCGGCGCGTACACGACCTCGCGCAGCATGGCACGCTGGACGTCATCAAGCTGGGGGCGGAACATCTCATCCATGGTCTCCTGATTAAGCAACTCACCCCCAAGGAACGCCTTCATAAAGGTGCTGTAGTCCCGCGCGGTGGAGAACAGCCCTGCGCCGCCGCTCTCGAGGGGGTGGTCGCTGTCCTTGTCGACTGGCGGGGCCACGGCCTCGAGGGAGCCGTCCCCGCGGCGGCTGGTGTAGGCGACGAACCTGCCGTCGAAGTCGCTCCCGGGCCAGAAGGTGGTGTCCTCCATGCCGAGGGGAAGGAGGATGTTGGTCTTCATGTACTGGCCGAGGGTCTGGCCGATGGCGGCCTCGAGGAGGAGCGCGGCCCAGTCGATGGCGGTGCCGTACCACCAGCCCTCGCCCGGGGTGAACTTGAAGGGGACGGTGAAGCCCTCCTTGGACCAGTCGAGGTTCCTGGCGGTGCGGCCGATGTGGTTTGACCACTTGATCAGGTCTGGATCGGGGATGTCGTAGCCTAGGCCTACGACGTGGGTAAGGAGCATGCTGTTTTTAGAGTGAGCATAGAACTGTGGGAAACAGCTGTTACGGATACAGATTTAGGATTGGGAAGGAGTTATGGTTTCAATACCGGAGTGTGATGGGTTTGGTGTTGTCCTCGAGGATGGGCTTGTCACCATCAAAGCCTCGGAGGATCTGCATAGTGCCTAGCTCGGGGATGGTGGTGCGGACGTCTTCGTCAAGAGGGAGGGTCCCACGCTCGACGAGCTGCATGATACATGTGATTGTGATGAGCTTGGTCAGAGAGGCGATATAGTTAAAAGATCTACTGTCGAAAGGGCGGCCAGAGCCGGTGAGATCGATTTGGCCAGACGAGGACTCGATGATGGGACCTAGTGAGATGAAATGAGTCTCGGATGAACTGGTATAGATGGATCATAGGTCCAATAGGATGAATATTATAAGACTTACGATCTTTTGTGACGACGGCAAACGACGCTCCGATGAGCTTCTGGTTGGTGTCCAGATCTTTGTCGACTACGTATTTTTCGAGAATGGCATGGAGTTTGGCGTCCATGGTCTCAAAGTTAGACTCCATGATATAAGATTGCTAGGGCAGTTGTCGAGAGGCTATGAGGAATGTGATGGCACTTTTTCGTAAAGTGGCAGCCTCGCAGCGCCTTATATGTAACCAAACAGCCTCGCTCGATCCTCTGTAAGATTGGTTGTGGATAATAGAATTGTGGTTGCCTGGCTGCTAACCGTACCCTGATGGTCTTCAACCCTGTAAGGACACGTTGTACAAGGTTTGAAAAGATGGCTAGATCTCTATGTAATCGCTTTGAAGCGGAAGTGGAGAGAGAAAGAGGAAGCGACGTTGAAGATTGATCGACACTTGGAGAAGAGGCAGGTAGGTGACAAAAATGTGGCACGTAAAGGGTATCTCCCAATGTTTGCAGCACCAAAACCACGATAAGTTTTCTACTTATCAAGGCAAAAAAAAACACAGGATAACAACTAACATTTCTCAATTGCCATGCCATTAGTGTCAATCAAGAGGATTGCATCCACAACTTGCATGACAGAGGCTGGGGTCGCGCTCAATGTGCCACGTTTTATGTCAACACGAGCCATGATGACTCATCAGAAACCAACCAGAGTAGAGCAACCTGTGATATTTCTGGATCATAGTTTGGCTCAGAATGGCTCAGAATGAGAACGTCACTGGAGATGGCAACCGGAATCTTTGGCTGAGGTGCTGGGAATATACACCAGGGAAGAGAACTGGCCTAGATGTTGGGGCTGTTGCGGGATGCAAGGGCCCTGCATTTGCCTATTTGGGCGTATGGTCTTGGCCTTCACTCAAAATAAAAGCCGATACGTGTCTAAGACTTGACTGATACAAGTAAATACTTCAGTGTCCCTTAATCTAGATAGCAGCCCGACTCAAGCCTATGTTTGCCTCACTGTGGCTGGGCGTCAGGTGCGAATACAGACTGTGATGTCAGTGGTGAGAGATCCGAGATGGTCTGATTGAGCACAGCCGTGCCGACAGAAACAGGAGCGCAGCACGTCAGATGTGCACAACGAGGGAGGTGCCCGGTATATATGGCAGACTAGAAATACCTAACCGGGACTTTCTCACCTAAGATGACATTCTGGCCAGCCTTCTTATCATGCCTTGCCATGGGATGCATGAAGGAGGAGGTCGAGGCCTGTATCGGAGAGTCCCAAGAAAAGAAACGCTTCACGAGTAGATGATGGATAGGTGTATAACGCCGATGCCATGCCGGAGCGCGGTCAGCGCACCATCTCGTGGAATGCCAGTGCAGGATTGAGGCCCGAGACACCTTGCTTTGTTGCCGCCTCCTGGGTGTAGATCAAGTGAGGGAGCCATCCCCCACGGGCTGGGCAGCTGACGGTCACAAGCCGCGGAGGGAGGGCGTGGGGGGATCATTCCACGTTCATCTATCTCCCCGACCGCTGCGAGGACGGCGCCCCCTTTTGCAGGCAGTTAGGTTCCCGTCGATCACATGGCAGAGATGAACGGCTGCGATGTGAGCCCTCGTGTTATGAGAGAGGCGAATAGGGGACCAGGAGGCTGGGGAATAAGGTAATGAGCTAAGATGTCGGTTCAAAGAGTACGAGGCTGCCTCTGCGGAGTACGTAAGACTAGTGGATGGGGACTCATTGTTCAGAACATGGAGCCCATCACGCCTGGTTCTTCCAGTCTAAGCTTCTGGCACCCCTGTAGGGATTTATTTTGGCCCCTGTTGGTCCCCTGCTCTGTTAGCGGTCCGGCCATTTTGAAACTATCACTACACAATGATATCCCCCCACTCTCCTCCTTTGCTCGTAGTCATTCACACAGACGCTCGACTACACGTGGCGGTGGTGGTCATTCTTAGCTGTATTGTGTTGTTATTTGATAGTTGGTAAACTAACCCGGTCCTTGTTGACGGGAACAATGGTGATGTGAACGCCACCTCGGACTGGAGATTGAGTGTTTGATTGTGCCTTCAAGGCGGCCCTACACTGAAGGCCATCCTTCTCCTCCTCTCGCATTCAACAACGCGGTGAACGCCCATACCTGTGCATAGATACTGACACATAATAATCAGTATATTTATCCCCTTATAACCCCATCCTATGCGCATCCTCTCGTACCTATCAGCATGCCCCCGAGTAGATTGGCTAAGCACGGCGGCGATCCGGGGTTCGAGCATGGGCCAGGCAAGCAAAGCTTGTCAAATGCACCCACACCGTCAAGCTCGCTACATGTACCAGCGGATCTCGGTATGTAGGCCCAGGAGGAGGGGGAGGTCAGCCTGCATTCCAGGATCGGATCAGGATACCCTCTTACGGATAGTCCTTGGTGGGATGCAGCCACCAACAAATGTTCCTTGTCAGAAGAGGAGAAGGAGCATGCGAGCGGGCCTCTCGCCATGTCTGTTTCGTCCTATTGACACTGGCGAAGCTGGCACACTGTCAAGGCGAGCTAATGTACGCATGCTGGAACAGAACAGCGTCCTCGTCTCCATTTGAATCTCCACCTCATTTTGGTGGGGTTTGAGCTTGCGTGGTGTTGGCAGCTCTAGTCAGTGTCAACAGGCAGGCCGGCGGCATGCAATTCATGGCCTACCTGTAGGTATTCACATCCATCCATCTCCGTACAGGTCTCTGACCTGACCAAGCCCAATCAGCGGTAGGTAAAAGAGTTCTCAAATGCACAGGTTCAGGCGCAATCTTGCTTCCTGCAGCATGTAGGCACGCAAGTATGCAAAGAAAGCAGCAATGGGAGAAATTTGGCCTATAGATGGCCCTTGAGTGCCAATGATGTGATCCGATGCGATACCGGTGAGGGACTGAGACACGATCCCAGCCATGTAGACGGAGATAGGAGCCCACCCTCATTCCCATCTATGTAGACCTGCAGTGCTGCTGTAGGCATAGGCCGGTTACCTTCCAGATAATACATGTCTACTTGACAATGTCTCGACATGCCGTTTTTGGTAGTGGATACGCACCATTGGCGATTATTGGCACACAGACAGACACGCAGGCAATGCAGCAAAGCGCTACTAAGTGGCGACGGCGGGTATAGTCTCCCACCCGTCGACGGCGGTGGGCCGGATGCCTCCTCGGCGACAGTCCTGAAGATACACGGCAGCCAGCAGGTTCGACGCTTCACGATGGCTTCACATGGCACCACTCCTTGGAGCGGTGTGCCGGCTTATAGAGCCAGTTCCGCGGGACGGCGCCGGCCTAGTCAGTGGAGAGCGGTGAGTGGGGGAGTGAGCAGCAAGACTGAATGAAGCTCTGGGGGTTTGGAGAAGAGAGTCGTTCCAGTTGCAATTCCAACTTGTGGTGGGCGAGACACCTCAATCGAATCGGATCATATCACATCATGCACGAATATGCCGTGCTGCGTCAATTGGATCGTCGCTCGAGATAACAAGGAAACGAAACGGATG